AAGGCAAATACTAACAGCCATAAAAGGGGAAATCGACAATAACACATTCATAGTAGGGAACTTTAACACCCCACTTTCACCAATGGACAGATCATCCAAAATGAAAATAAATAAGGAAACACAAGCTTTAAATATTACATTAAACAAGATGGACTTAATTGATATTTATAGGACATTCCATCCAAAAACAACAGAATACACATTTTTCTCAAGTGCTCATGGAACATTCTCCAGGATAGATCATATCTTGGGTCACAAACCAAGCCTTGGTAAATTTAAGAAAATTGAAATTGTATCAAGTATCTTTTCTGACCACAACGCTATGAGACTAGATATCAATTACAGGAAAAGATCTGTAAAAAATACAAACACATGGAGGCTAAACAATACACTACTTAATAACGAAGTGATCACTGAAGAAATCAAAGAGGAAATCAAAAAATACCTAGAAACAAATGACAATGGAGACACGACGACTCAAAATCTATGGGATGCAGCAAAAGCAGTTCTAAGAGGGAAGTTTATAGCAATTCAATCCTACCTTAAGAAACAGGAAACATCTCGAATAAACAACCTAACCTTGCACCTAAAGCAATTAGAGAAAGAAGAACAAAAAAACCCCAAAGTTAGCAGAAGGAAAGAAATCATAAAAATCAGATCAGAAATAAATGAAAAAGAAATGAAGGAAACGATAGCAAAGATCAATAAAACTAAAAGCTGTTTCTTTGAAAGGATAAACAAAATTGATAAACAATTAGCCAGACTCATCAAGAAAAAAAGGGAGAAGACTGAAATCAATAGAATTAGAAATGAAAAAGGAGAAGTAACAACTGACACTGCAGAAATACAAAAGATCATGAGAGATTACTACAAGCAACTCTATGCCAATAAAATGGACAACCTGGAAGAAATGGACAAATTCTTAGAAAGGCACAACCTGCCAAAACTGAATCAGGAAGAAATAGAAAATATGAACAGACCAATCACAAGCACTGAAACTGAAACTGTGATTAAAAATCTTCCAAAAAACAAAAGCCCAGGACCAGATGGCTTCACAGGTGAATTCTATCAAACATTTAGAGAAGAGCTATCACCTATCCTTCTCAAACTCTTCCAAAATATAGCAGAGGGAGGAACACTCCCCAACTCATTCTACGAGGCCACCATCACCCTGATACCAAAAACAGACAAGGATGTCACAAAGAAAGAAAACTACAGGCCAATATCACTGATGAACATAGATGCAAAAATCCTCAACAAAATACTAGCAAACAGAATCCGACAGCACATTAAACGGATCATACACCATGATCAAGTGGGGTTTATACCAGGAATGAAAGGATTCTTCAATATACGCAAATCCATCAACGTGATACACCATATTAACAAATTGAAGGAAAAAACCATATGATCATCTCAATAGATTCAGAGAAAGCTTTTGACAAAATTCAACACCATTTATGATAAAAACCCTGCATAAAGTAGGCATAGAGGGAACTTTCCTCAACATAATAAAGGCCATATATGACAAACCCACAGCCAACATCGTCCTCAATGGTGAAAAACCGAAAGCATTTCCACTAAGATCAGGAAAAAGACAAGGTTGCCCACTCTCACCACTCTTATTCAACATAGTTTTGGAAGTTTTAGCCACAGCAATCAAAGAAAAGGAAATAAAAGTAATCCAAATGGGAAAAGAAGAAGTAAAGCTGTCACTCTTTGCAGATGTCATGATACTATACATAGAGAATCCTAAAGATGCTACCAGAAAACTACTAGAGCTAATCAATGAATTTGGTAAAGTAGCAGGATACAAAATTAATGCACAGAAATCTCTGGCATTCCTATACACTAAGGATGAAAAATCTGAAAGTGAAATCAAGAAAACACTCCCATTTACCATTGCAACAAAAAGAATAAAATATCTAGGAATAAACCTACCTAAGGAGACAAAAGACCTGTATGCAGAAAATTATAAGACACTGATGAAAGAAATTAAAGATGATACAAATAGATGGAGAGATATACCATGTTCTTGGATTGGAAGAATCAACATTGTGAAAATGACTCTACTACCCAAAGCAATCTACAGATTCAATGCAATCCCTATCCAACTACCACTGGCATTTTTCACAGAACTAGAACAAAAAATTTCACAATTTGCATGGAAACACAAAAGACCCCGAAGAGCCAAAGCACTCTTGAGAACGAAAAACGGAGCTGGAGGAATCAGGCTTCCTGACTTCAGACTATATTACAAAGCTACAGTAATCAAGACAGTATGGTACTGGCACAAAACCAGAAATGTAGATCAATGGAACAGGATAGAAAGCCCAGAGATAAACCCACGCACATACGGTCACCTTATCTTTGATAAAGGAGGCAGGAATGTACAGTGGAGAAAGGACAGCGTCTTCAATAAGTGGTGCTGGGAAAACTGGACAGCTACATGTAAAAGTATGAGATTAGATCACTCCCTAACACCATACACAATAAGCTCAAAATGGATTAAAGACCTAAATGTAAGGCCAGAAACTATCAAAATTAGAGGAAAACATAGGCAGGACACTCTATGACATAAATCACAGCAAGGTCCTTTTTGACCCACCTCCTAGAGAAATGGAAATTAAAACAAAAATAAACAAATGGGACCTAATGAAACTTAAAAGCTTTTGCGCAGCAAAGGAAACCGTAAACAAGATGAAAAGACAGCCCTCAGAATGGGAGAAAATATTTGCAAATGAAGCAACTGACAAAGGATTAATCTCCAAAATTTACAAGCAACTCATGCAGTTTAATAACAAAAAAAACAAACAACCCAATCCAAAAATGGGCAGAAGACCTACATAGACATTTCTCCAAAGAAGATATACAGACTGCCAACAAACACATGAAAGAATGCTCAACAACACTAATCATTAGAGAAATGCAAATCAAAACTACAATGAGATATCATCTCACACCAGTCAGAATGGCCATCATCAAAAAATCTAGAAACAATAAATGCTGGAGAGGGTGTGGAGAAAAGGGAACCCTCTTACACTGTTTGTGGGAATGTGAATTGGTACAGCCACTATGGAGAACAGTATGGAGGTTCCTTAAAAAACTACAAATAGAACTACCATATGACCCAGCAATCCCACTACTGGGCATATACCCTGAGAAAACCATAATTCAAAAAGAGTCATGTACCAAAATGTTCATTGCAGCTCTATTTACAATAGCCCAGAGATGGAAACAACCTAAATGTCCATCATCGGATGAATGGATAAAGAAGATGTGGCACATATATACAATGGAATATTACTCAGCCATAAAAAGAAACGAAATTGAGCTATTTGTAATGAGGTGGATAGACCTAGAATCTGTCATACAGAGTGAAGTAAGTCAGAAAGAGAGAGACAAATACCGTATGCTAACACATATATATGGAATTTAAGAAAAAAATGTCATGAAAAACCTAAGGGTGAAACAGGAATAAAGGCACAGGCTTACTAGAGAATGGACTTGAGGCTATGGGGAGGGGGAAGGGTAAACTGTGACAAAGTGAGAGAGAGGCATGGACATACATACAGTACCAAACGTAAGGTAGATAGCTAGTGGGAAGCAGCCGCATAGCACAGGGAGATCAGCTCGGTGCTTTTTGACCGTCTGGAGGGGTGGGATAGGGAGGGTGGGAGGGAGGGAGACGCAAGTGGGAAGAGATATTGGAACATATGTATATATATAACTGATTCATTTTGTTGTGAAGCTGAAACTAACATACCATTGTAAAGCAATTATACTCCAATAAAGATGTTAAAATGAAAAAAAAAATGTCTTGGGGGCTTCCCTGGTGGCGCAGTGGTTGAGAGTCTGCCTGCTAATGTAGGGTGCATGGGTTCGAGCTCTGGTCCGGGAAGGTCCCACATGTCGCGGAGCAACTGGGCCCGTGAGCCACAGCTACTGAGCCTGCGCGTCTGGAGCCTGTGCTCCGCAACAAGAGAGGCCGCGATAGTGAGAGGCCTGCGCACCGCGATGAAGAGTGGACCCCGCTTGCCACAAGTAGGGAAAGCCCTCGCACAGAAACGAAGGCCCAACACAGCAAAAATAAATTAATAAATTAATAAACTCCTACCCCCAACATCTTAAAAAATAAAATGTCTTGGTACACAAGGTGTTCATATGAACAGAGATATTATAGAAGAGAGAGAAAATGCAAAGGTAATCTAAAAAAGTAATTGGAAAAGGCTATTTTTAAAATATTTTTTCTGAACTCAAGAAAGACGTATGGATAAACAGGGTGATCCTTTTAGCGCAAGGTTCTCAGTACAGCACTATTGACATTTTGGGCCAGTTAATTCTTTGTTGTGGGGTACTGTCCCATGTATTGTAAAATGTTTAGCAGCGTCCCTAGTCTCTACCCATCAAATGCTAGTAGCATCCCCAGCCCCCAAGTTGTGATGACCAAGTGTTTCCAGACATTGCCACGTGTCCCCGTGGATGGGGTTAGGGGGAGGTAAAATTGCTCATGGTTGAGAACTATTACTTTAATTCAATAGTCACATATAAAAAATCAAAACAAACCAGCTTCCTTAGTCACAGTATGGATTTTACGTAAAACAAACAAACAAAAACCAGATATTGTCTATAGTTTTAAAGCCTACTGGGGAGACATTAACCTTTACCTGTGGCACAGGTATTGCATGCTAGAGTTAAAGTATTACACATTCAATGCATATTTTACAAATGAAAGAGTTTGTAGTTCTGCCAGCAAATCCTATGCTGTTTGCCTTTAGCAGCTGTAGCAAAGATAAATGTCTCAGCAATCCAGTTTTAAGGAAATCTCTCTACTTAGAATCATTCCTATTATACTGTTTTAAAAACCCCTATTGAAAACAACAGCCCAAAACATAAAAATAAAAAGTAAAACAGAAACAAAAAAGTGTATTGTTAAAGGCTCCTGGAACTTCTCAGCACTAATGACTACAGATTTTGTTGTTCTGATCTTGGCTGCCTACCTCTTACATCAGCTCCTTGCATTTCAGTGACGTGGACTCTTCCAAATATTCTGGCTTCAATCTTTGTCCTAGAACCAGCTGGGCCACAGACCTGTTAAGAATCAATTCAGATGTTTCAATAAAACAGTTTTTGTCCTGTTCTGTCTGGCCATTCTTCTAAGTGGCCTGAACTGAATGGGCAGGGCAGCTATTTCTCTAGACTTTTCTAATCAATCATAAAATTGAAATAAAAACTATAAAGTTTTAAGATTTTTAAAATTTACCACAGTATATAGTTATTTATAAATTATACACCAATACAGTTTTACTAATATAATATGTATGTCATTACACACACAGAGATAGATATTAAAAAGGGATAGAATGAATATAGTATAAGATAGATTTTATATTTTAATGATACAAATTTTTTTGATCTCACTAAAAATGTTATTCATCCTAATTTTTAGTGAAAGCAATGTGATTCAATATTTACCTTTGGAAAACCTTGTTTAAATACATTGAGATACAGCAACTCAAAAATCTAGCTTCAAGTTCAGTATTTTTTGATATATGACTCATAATGACCATCACTGAAAAAGCTATGTTACAGTAACACAATTTATAAAGAAGAAAATATATACTTGGGACAAGTTTGCAATTATCAACAGTAAATATAAATCTACACTGGGGGCACTTCCCTGGTGGTCCAGTGGTTAAGCTCCAGGCTCCCAATGCAGGGGCCCCGGGTTTGATCCCTGGTCCGGGAACTAGTTCCCACATGCATATTACAATTAAGAAGCCCGCATGCCACAACTGAAAGATCCCACATGCCGCAACTAAGACCTGGTGCAGCCTAAATAAATATTTAAAAAATAAATCTATACTGGAAATAACATTTACAATATTTTGAATTTTTGGTTAGCTTTGTCACATCTGACTAGTTTTCCATTATCCTTACCGAGTAACCTGGCTTAGGAAGAGCTTATACGAGAAGTAATAATGGCACCTCTGAGGAATCAAATTATCAGTATTATTTAAAATTTTTCTTTTCAAGAATTTATTTAAGCCACTTCTTCATTTTCTGAGATCAGTTTTAATTAAAACTAGAAAATATCATCCATAAATCCACTTAACTGGCAACCAATACATTTTAATGCTTTGCAAAATATGGAAAACAGATGAGGGCATTGTTGATTGTATCTCTGAATTGTGGAACTTGTAATTTTCCTTGAAGATACCATTCTTACTCCAGTTGATGTTGGAGGGCATGAAAATCAATCTGTATATTAAATATTAGTAAAACCTAATTGCCATATGTTAGACTAAAATGAATGGAAATGGAAATGAACCATATTCTTCCTGCATACCTTTGAGCAGTCTTGCCCTTTCATTAGGGTTGTGCATCTTCCTTAAGCCTACTGATTTGTGGGTTTTTCCTCTTCCTAAACCTTCCAGTTTTAACTTAACCCCTTTAATGAAATACAACTATTTTCTAGATTCTGTAATTAGTGCAATTATTATTTTTTGTTACTCAACAAGTTTTTTGTGTCTCACATTCCAAACAGAAAATATACAAAGGCAAAACAAGACCCCATAATGACATAACATTTTGGCTGTTAACTGGACACTAGAAAGTCAAGATTGGAAAATGTTCTCTTTTTTTTTTTGCGGTACGCGGGCCTCTCACTGTTGTGGCCTCTCCTGTTGCGGAGCACAGGCTCCGGACGTGCAGGCTCAGCGGCCATGGCTCACGGGCCCAGCCGCTCCGCGGCATGTGGGATCTTCCCGGACCGGGGCACGAATCCCTATCCCCTGCATCGGCAGGCGGACTCCCAGCCACTGTGCCACCAGGGAAGCCCTGGAAAATGTTCTCTTGCTGTGGATGAATTCAGCAGTTTGTTTATCAAGATTCTTAGGGCCTAAATTATAAAATTATTGTATTGATAAACAATATAAGTATTTTAAAAGCTCAATTAACAGTAATTACAAACCAGAGTAGTTCAGAAAGAATGTGCTATAAATTACACTATGTCCTCAAGAAAATAGCAAAATCTATATGGTCTGCTAAATCTTTCATTCCTTTTTTCCAACATCACAGTCAATGACTATCAGGTTGCATCAGTCTGAAGACAATTAATTGATTCTACACGTACAAGTCTAAAAATTGCCTAGGTAGTTAACCATAGACCCAGCTAAACTCAATCCATATATGTTTGTACACTAGCAGAGATACAGAAATCAAAAGTTCGGGGTATGTTGAGCAAAGAGGTTATAAGTGGAAGAAAACACAATTATCCAAGTTAAAAATGGACAGACGTATATGGAAACAAGTCAAACAGGATTCATGACTTTGTCACAGACCTATGTTGCTAAGGCCAGCTGGTTATTCCATTGTAGAGAAGTAGCATTGTATCCGATTTTTATTCTTATAATTAATGTGAGCTTGAACTGGAAAGCTAGAAATTCTCGATGACTATTCATAAGTGCTCTTTTGAATTAATATTTTATATTTTTGCATAGGCATCTTTGCTCAGAAATCTTGGTATGTTATAGAAATTGCCTTTTTTTCTATTTAAAGAATTTATTTATGGAGAAACCATATTAAAAACAAAAATCACTGTGTTTTTATGGACATCTATATTGAATGCTTCTCTAGTTTATAATGCCTGCCCACTTCCCATCTTTATCAAGCTAATTTAGACTTATCATTAAGATGGCTCTTATATTTCTCTAGGAACAATTTCATGGATCACATCTTGCTCTCACTATTAACAGCTTTAGGTGTTCCTTCTTTAGAACCCCTTCAGCCCTGTGCCTATCCCAGCACTGTACTACTGACCAGTGCCATGCAGAGCTATATTGGAGCTTGAAGCAAAAGGAAAAATCAGTAACAGTGATCTTGCTTTATTTAAAATGTTGGTATTTTCTTCATGATGAAATTTTTGCATCAATTTTGATGCTTAAAAATATTGCATCGAAGTACGATTTATTTTGGTTATTGATTTTTTTTTTGGCACTCCCTTCAATTTTACGCCTGAGGTGAGTGCTTCACTGGCCTCTCTGGTCCCTGCCCTGCTCTTATCTCTCTATATTCCTGTTCCCTTGTATAGACTGTGGACTTTCTGAAAACAATGGTGAAGCCTTTCCATCTTTGAAGCACCTGGCACAGCCCTAGCATTTTATAAGTGTGCAATAAACACTTACTGAAAACAGATTACATACATATGCATGTTTTTAAACTCTATGTGCTCTTTAAAATATTATTGTTCATGAGTCTACTTGGTTTCAAATCTAATTTTTAAAACCAGGAAAGACAGTCATCCTATATTTTTGACTTTCAGGGATAGCACTAATTCCAACATTTCTTTTGAAAATTCCGTTTGTTATGGCATCACACTCAACCCTCATTGATTTCTCTTGTTAGAGAAAATTGTGAACTTTTCACTAATCGCTCTCCCATTTTTTTTTCAGTATTTTGCTAGCTTTTTCTCTGATTTAATTGAGTTTTAAATGAACTCCCGCCGAATGTTATTAGAGCCTGATGTATATCTCAAGAAAGTGTGCACTCTCAAATTTGTTCGTACCTCAGAGCTTCAAATATTATAAGTAAGCTATTATTAACTGTTCCTTTCCATCTTCCATTTTTAAACATTTCTAGATTCTTCATCTCTTCTTCAAATAACACACATTCCTTATCCATTGTTAGTTTTTTCTGGATATTATCTTATTTTTCAATATTCTTCATTTTTGCTCAAAGATGAACACTGAACTATATTTGTAATCTGACTGCAGGAAGCTGTACTGGTTGGTTGAATCTACAGACGCCGAACCTACAGATACGGAGCGCCGACAGGGCTATGCCATTTTACATGAGGGACTTGAGCACCCGCGGATGCTGGTATTCATCGCGGCTCCTGGAACCAATCCCCCGCAGATGGTGAGGGACACAAAGTATTTGAGAGGGTGAAAGAATAAAAATGAAAAGTGAGCTGGTTGAGTAATTATTGAAGACAGCGCCTGGAGTACCAAAGGAGGGATATTCTGAGCAAATCAGGCCATTTTACTTAATTACCAATTCACTCATATATAATTTAATAACAGGCCAATTTCCCAAGTGAAAATCTTTTCAAATTTACTTGTTTCTTATAACTATTTAGTTTAACTTGACCAGTTTCCCCTTTTTTTAATGGCTACATTTTGGGGAATATTTTCATTAACCTTAGTGCCAGCTCTCTCTTGTTGTGGCTGGAGATTTAGAAGCAGAGAGTGAATGAGACTGAATGCCTTAAAAATATATTCCTAGAACATATGATCTTGAATATTAATTGTTCTCGTTAATATAGTCCCTATTTATATTATCATAAAATATTATAATTTAAAACATTAGTTATATTTATTTATATGTCATAACTATTTATATATTATTTATACATATGATATTTATATATAGTTGATAAGGTGCTTCTATAGTTTTTGTCAATATATTTTTGAACTGTATTCTACTTGAATATATTTAGTAAATACATTTTTCATAGAAGTAAATTCTTCTTATAAACCTCCTCAAGGATAATATATTCATGAAAAATATATAAAGGCACTGCCCCCTGAAAGTTAATTCTGGTGGTGTTTGATGAGGGATCACCTTTAGTAACATTGAATGGTGACAACATTGGAATAGAATTCACAGTCATAATTTATAGTGATCACTGAGTCTCTGTGAGGCCAGATGGTGCTTTTTGACAGCCAGTATTAATATATTTTCAAAGAACTTTTGTTTTTGAGTTGGGAAGACACCTGATCCTGCCCACATTGGTAGAGAAGCTTTGAAGCACATGATTATGACCATCTCCCTATGGCTGTTATTCAACCAGAACCTTAGCTTAAGAGTCATAGTATAGAGATAGACAAGGTAATCACCGAGGGACATAGGCAGATATACTAGCAGAACACTTTATGACTAGATGAAGAATTACAGAACAGCTGTGATTCTGGCAGGGACTGACATTCAGCATCACTGAGTCATTCCTAGGGTAAAGGCAGTAGATCATGTTTGCTTCATCCCTGAAACTACAGAACTGTACTGCTCAGCAGGTGACAAACCCCAGCCAG